GCAGCTAATGCAATTGTCTGAACTACTAAGAGTTAACCTGGAGATTTTGATAACTTTTATTTGGAAGTGCTGTTGTTGTCACATATACAAACAAATGCAGCAATGTTGTATTGCTCTGAGATTCAAAACTTCATATAATACCCACTTATTTGCTACTTAATATCACGTCATTTACTTTTCATCTAGTTTTTGATTTATAGCTTTGTAATTATTGAAGACTTGTCCAAATAAAATAGTCTCGTTCCCCTCGAATAGTCGAGGAAACATGGTTGAGTTCGAGCTTTTGGTTTGAATTACCTTTGTTAGGGGAGTGCTTTAACTCGTAATAGGGGACTTTCTTGCATGAATTTTGATTTAGTCGGGTTTTAAAACGGCTATTATACACCATATTAGGAATCGAGGAGAAGAGCAAAATGAAATATATTGAGAGTTATAAATATTGTGTTCATTACATCTAAGTCGTTTTCTGATTTGAAACCAAATTGTTACCTAATGAACCAAATATCTACCCATAAAATTATGTCAATTAAATAATTTTGTTATTTTTTCCATTTTAATATTATGAGATTACTTGTTTCCAATTTAAAAACTTCAATTATTTTGAAATTGATTCGACTGGTCGAAACGATTAATATTTGAGATTGAATAAATTATAAACTATGAAGTACCTATCTGCTTAGCAAAAACAGATAGATCAATTATATTCGTTATTGTTTATGTCATATAGTAGTATATAACGATTAATATTTGAGATTGAATAAATTATAATCTATGAAGTACCTATCTGCTTAGCAAAAACAGATAGATCAATTATATTCGTTATTGTTTATGTCATATAGTAGTATATAACGATTAAGATTTGAGATTGAATAAATTATAAACTATGAAGTACCTATCTGCTTAGCAAAAACAGATAGATCAGTTATATTCGTTATTGTTTATGTCATATAGTAGTATATAACGATTAATATTTGAGATTGAATAAATTATAATCTATGAAGTACCTATCTGCTTAGCAAAAACAGATAGATCAATTTATATTCGTTATTGTTTATGTCATATAGTAGTATATATTTCTGGATTGGGTTATGAATCGGTTTACAAATTTTGGGCAATGGTGGAATAGTTGGGATTCTTTCATTCTTAGTAAAATTTTCGAATTTGAATTCTGAATACAAAAATAAAATCCTATTAAAAGCACCTCCAGAATTAGCTAAATTCTAATGCAAATATCAAATATCGGGCGAAAAAATAATAATTATGAAACGGCATGACACAGCTATAAGTTGACAAATGTGTGTTGACCAATAAAAGAAAAAAAAGTACAGATGTGTAAAGAGACGTGCTACCGACTTGCTGGTTAATTCCAAATTATATTTGTTAAAATTTCTGGTTTATGTTTTTAAAATAATAATTAATCTGTTGACATTTGCCTCTTGTAGGTATAAAAAAGCTTGCAAATCATAAATCTTTGTTTTTGTTAAATGAAAATCATAAATCTAAATCTAATGAGCCTCCAGTGGAACTCTGCCACGTATCTCATCAAGAGTGATGACAAACAATTATTGACCTATTATACTTCAATAATTTACTTATTATTAGCTAAATATAAAATATTTTTAATTAAAGTACTTTGTTTATGTAAAATTTAAGTCTTCACAAAACTTAAATCAACTTTTTCCCTAATATAAAAGTGTTGAATTCGATCTTTAGAAATAACATCATTATTAGTAAGGAGCATTTTAATCTTGTTGAGTTATCATGTCATTGGTAATGAGTTATTTGATCTCCAAATAAAATTTTGAACAATTCTTACCTCATGACTTAATATCTGAGTTGAGATTGACCCAATTTAATATTCCATGGTATGTCTCCTTTTCATATTGTTCATACTTTAGAAATTTGATCTCTATGGAGGGGAGAGGGAAGGGTTGAGTTTTCACATCGATGGTGGATGACGAGTTATTTGGTCTACTTATATGTTGTTAAAGTCAAACAATTCACATATTATAAATTAGTTACGTCTAAAATATTTTAACAAAAATCTAAATTAATTAGATTTCAAAATAATTATCAAACCTTGAACGAGAACAAAAATATAATGATGGGAGAGTGCCCCAAAAAAAAAGTGTGGACATGGAATATGTTTCTAACATAAATATGTCAAGGAATATAGTAATTATGTAGAGAAAAAAGGATTTGGTTGGGGATTTAAATGAGATTAGGTTTAATTCCATGTGAGATAGTTGTATGTTGATATGCCAATTAGGTTCCACTCTCTAGTGGCACCCACATGACAATTATTATTTCTAATAATTATCAATTTCTAATTAGTTTGAAATTTTTGTTGTTATTTACTTCTTTTTTTTTTTTAAAAAAAATTAATATTATTTCTTCGCACAACTCAACGTATATTTGTCACAGACTCATAATATAATACTTCTCTTTTGAGCCAAGATTTTTTGTAAACAATCTTTCTATCTTATAAAAATAAGATAAGATCTGTATACCTTCTATATTTTTCAAATTTCACTTGGAATTACACTGAACATATAGTTGTTCTTGGACAATTGGAATATGCTAGTGTGAACAAAAATACTTTTCATGATCTAAGTTGTGATTAACTAAAAACCAAAATATATAAAAATATAAAATTTTACAAAGTATAGAATAAAGTTTCATGACACCATTGATTGACATAATTTAATCAACCTACCACCCTACAGATCATGTTTTATTAAGGACAAAAAATAATATACATGGTGCCAACTAATTCCCATCACCCATGTGACCCCTTCCATTTTCAAAATTTATCACTAGTCCCCCCTTACAATAAGTAGCTCCATAAAAATCAACTAAAACTCAACTTTCTCAAATCTCAAAAAAATGGCAAAAAAATTTGGAATTTTCTTTACAATTTTTTGTATTCTTTCAACTTCATGTCTTGGAGATTGGAACATTTTGTCACAACACAAAACCAATAGTGGTCTCAAAATTAGCCTCAAGAATTATTGTGAGAGTTGGAGAATGAATGTTGAGTTACACAACATTAGAGATTATGTTGTTGTCCCTCAAGAATGTGTTGCATATATTGGAAAATATATGACTTCTACTCAATATAAAGTTGATTCTGAAAGAACTATTAATGAATGTATACTTTATCTTAGTACTAATTGTATTTTGGAAAATGATGGGAAAGATGCTTGGATTTTTGATATTGATGATACTCTTCTTTCCTCTGTTCCTTACTACAAGAAAAATGGTTTTGGGTAAGTTTTGTTTCTCATTTTTTCTTTTTTAGGGTAATAGTTTTACGTTTTGTACACTGACAATGTATATTCAGATCGACCTCTTATACTATATGTTGAGTTTTTTCTTATATTGGTTGTGAGATAGAGATTTAAAATTTTATATGATCTTGAACGATCATTGTCACCTTATGGATTAACTTTTGAAGTTGAGAATTATGGATTTCTCTTTACTAGTAACATGTAAGGATCATAAGCTTTTAGTCATCTATATAGCTACATACTCTTTTTGCAAAAGATTCATTTCTTATCATGATATCAGAGCTAGACTTATCCAATTTCTATTTTACCTGATGTTGAGTTCGATATTATGTTGTCCACTATCAAGTTGGCAGACCATGTCGAGTCTAGGGTGGGGGAATGCTGAGTTTGTCCCACGTTGATTGTGGGATCGATGGGTATTTGATCTATTAAATAATCTCCACATCATGAACTAGCTTTTAGGATTGAGTTAGGCTCGATGTTCATTGATTGTTGCTAATGTTTTTTTTTGTTGGTGGAATAGGGGAAATAAGCTAAATGTGACATCTTTGGAGGATTGGATGAGCCAAGGGAAAGGAACAGCATTGGAACATTCTTTGAAGTTGTTCAATCATCTTAAAGGACTAGGAGTTCAAATCTTTCTTGTTTCTTCAAGAAGAGAACATCTTAGATCCGCCACTGTCGACAATCTTGTCAAAGTTGATTTCTATGGATGGAATAGCCTCATACTAAGGTTTGAATATATTTTTTAAAAATCAATTTATTTGGTTTATGTTTATACTTTATTCTAAAATTGGTACTTATATTTTGGTTGAATGTTTTAGAGATCAAGAAGATGAATGCAAGAATGCTCAAAGCTTCAAGGCAGAAATAAGAAGTAAACTTATAAGCCAAGGTTATAGAATTGTGGGCATAATTGGAGACCAATGGAGTAGCATCGAGGGTCTTCCAAGTGCAAAAAGATCATTCAAACTTCCAAATCCAATGTACTATGTTGCTTGATTATAAACTTGTGAATTTGTCAAGTTTTTGTGAGGAAAAAAAAACATGATTTCTTGGGTGTTATATGTTGTTTTTTGTGATGTGAATTATTGTTGGAAATAATTTTGTGAAGAATCTTGATGATTTGGTTGATTTCACACTAAATATGGCAATTATTGGAGCAAGCAATTGTCAACTACTAGCCAACCTAAAGGTGCATGTGAACATTTAAGAAAGGAAATAGACAAAAATAAAGATGATTCATCTATATTATAGTGATGTTTTCATATTTTTAGAATAATACAATTTCTACTTAACATACAATTTACTTAGTTGATTGTTAACTTATTTGACAACAATAAATCAACAATAACATATGAGCTAACTGAGATCTGAAGAGGATAGAGTGTTACCTCTACCTTGGGAGGTAGAGATGTTGATTCTAATAGATCCTCGACTCAAAGAAAAGCATATCAAAGCAGGTCGAATTTTTTTTAATGGGAGTGATAAAATCATGGGAAAATGCTATAGAAAGCATAACAAAACATTTTGAATTGTTCGAGATAGAACTTGAACGTTTAATGATATTAATAGTTAGTTTGTTTGGCCAAGCTTCTGAAAAGCCAAACAGAAAGATAAGATGCAAGATCCTCTTACCGTGGGACGAAAAAACGCGTAAGCTTTTAACATCTTATATCAAAACACTAGCACTTATACTTCTAAGTGAACCTATTCTTGCTTAGCATAGTCACCTCCCATTTGTGCCTTACAATAATCGAACAAACTCCCATCAAAGCATCGTCTTATAGCCTCTTTCGATAAGAATCCATCTTCGTCTCGAGCAAGAAAATACAAAAGTCCCCATTCCAATTTTGAAGCAATCCTTCAAATTAAACCAAAAGACCAAAAAATGGTTAAAACAACTATGATGAGCTAGACCATTTGGCTTGGCTCGAATTCAAGAAGCGTTTAAGCAACTTATGCACCAAGTATTGGAGATAAATAAGTAGTTACGTGTTTGAATGACAACTTACCAGCCAAGAAAATCGTATATATCTCTATTGGCTTGAGTCATATCCCACAATTCTCCAAAACTAAGCTTATCAGGCACAGTTCGAGCGTACTTGCTAAAAATGTTCTCAAAGTGCACTGGCAAAAACCTAAGGAACAATTAAACCACACACTAAGCTCATGATACTCAGGAAGGTTGTAACACGAGGACTTCAGAACGAGTAGTACATATATATACTTGCCTGCCTTCTCTATCATAGGTCCCGGAATCACTTCCATGTTTGCCCTTGTGTATATTATGAATGTAGATTGGAAGGAACGGAGAAGGAAACCACCCCTGCAAATTAACATTTTACAATGCACTATTACAACATCAACATACACAACGTAATCCCATAAGTGGGGTGCAGGAGGTTAGACCGTATCTAGACCTTACCCCTAACTCGTGGAGGCAGAGAAGCACAATGCACTATTACAACAACATACACAACGTAATCCCATAAGTGGGGTGCAGGAGGTTAGACCGTATCTAGACCTTACCCCTAACTCGTGGAGGCAGAGAAGCACAATGCACTATTACAACAACATACACAACGTAATCCCATAAGTGGGGTGCAGGAGGTTAGACCGTATCTAGACCTTACCCCTAACTCGTGGAGGCAGAGAAGCACAATGCACTATTACAACAACATACACAACGTAATCCCATAAGTGGGGTGCAGGAGGTTAGACCGTATCTAGACCTTACCCCTAACTCGTGGAGGCAGAGAAGCACAATGCACTATTACAACAACATACACAACGTAATCCCATAAGTGGGGTGCAGGAGGTTAGACCGTATCTAGACCTTACCCCTAACTCGTGGAGGCAGAGAAGCACAATGCACTATTACAACAACATACACAACGTAATCCCATAAGTGGGGTGCAGGAGGTTAGACCGTATCTAGACCTTACCCCTAACTCGTGGAGGCAGAGAAGCACAATGCACTATTACAACAACATACACAACGTAATCCCATAAGTGGGGTGCAGGAGGTTAGACCGTATCTAGACCTTACCCCTAACTCGTGGAGGCAGAGAAGCACAATGCACTATTATAACAACAACAACAACATACATAACGTAATCCCACAAGTGGGGTTCAGGAGGTCAGACTGTACCTAGACCTTACCCTTAACTCGTGGAGGCAGAGAAACACAATGCACTATCAACTAACAAAACTTAAAAAAACTAGAAGAAACAGGGGAAATACTCTGCCTCCATTACATTACATCAAATTGGGCTAAATCCGAATGAGTAAGTGAACTCAAAAATCAAATGCATGACAGTATGAATGACTCTGCTTCAACTTACTGGGAGAGTAGGATAGCTCAAGACAGCATTGATCATAATAGCTACTATGAATGAAACGATCACATTGAAGCCAATTTGACGAAGCCCTATTCAAAACGAGGACGAAAAATCAGACATCAATGATTCTAAATGACAAGAACTAAGTTATGGACTTGCACGATGAGTTACCGGAGTATGTTTCCCATGGATAAACAATGCCATTATCATCCTGATCGAAGAAAGCTGCGTGTTGCTGAAGAACACTCATGCCATTGTGACTGTGGCCAGGAGTTCCATTGGGGTGATCCATGTCTGGAGCAACCAAACCCCTAGCCATATCTGAATATTTCTTTCGACTTTTGTAAGGGGTGTCACGTTTTAAAATGAAAATAAATAAATAAAGCACAATTCATGTATATTACTATAAAACTCTCCGCGATGAAATTTCATCTTTTGAAATGTATTCAAAATAACTTCATTACCTAATGATCGATTTAAAAGTTGTCATTTATTTGATTTCACAAATCAATTTTGTTGTATAGCACCCAATTTTGTTATGAACCCCTAACAAAATTGATTGACAGCTCAGTGGTAAGGAAGGGGCGATGAAACTGCTGTTCACAATAGTGGTGTGGGTTCAACATGTTTTGCAATATTTTTCTCTTCTATCCTAAAATTTAAAACTCTCAAACTCCTAATGCTGACTCCGCTTCTAATTATGCATACACATTTTTTTTTAAAAATCGACGACACAAAAACTTACGAGGCTTAGGGATAGAAGTTTCCAAGTCAGTTCTAACTTTGCGTTGAATAGTGATTGGGGCAAGAGTGGCCTCTGTTGTCAATGCTGGATTTCTCTGATCCATTCCACCTGTAATTGTTGTTTCTGCCATATCTCTTACTCTAGTATTACTATTACTACTTCAACAAAACTGAAAAAATGTACTCAAATCAACAACAAAAGTTACAAGTGAAATAATTATGAGGAAATTGATGGAGCCTCTGTAAAGCTTACAAGTGGCTTTTTACAGTTTTTAGTGCTGCTTATGACACGTATCAGTCAAAATATGATCCGTTTAGTTCTGTTATAATTGAAACGATTAATTTATAATATTAATAAGTGATTGTGTACTAAGCTTTAACGGTTATCTTGTGTAACGTAGATAAATTGTTTTCAAATAGATTATTGGTTTAGGTAAAGCATTTCAAAATCAAGGAAAAAATAATATTGAAGAAAATGAAGGAAAAAAGAATTAAGTAACAATAACAACACCAATGGGAGAAGCTAGGCAACATTTGAATGCCTACTAACATTCTACTCTAATTCTTAACTCTTATATTCTTTTATCTAAGGGCATGTCCTCAGTAAGCTGTAAATGTGTCATGTTGTGTCTAATCACCTCTCTCCAATATTTATTCGACATAGCTCTACCTCTAATCATATTCACTATAGCCAACATCTCACACCTCCTCACTGAGCCTCTTCATATGCTCGAATCTTCTCAATCTCACTTTCCTCATCTTGTTCACCACGGAGACGATTCTCGTCTTATCCCGAATATCTTCTATCCTGGTCCTGTATGTACTACTATGTTTACACATTCATCTCAACATCCTCACTTCTGCTACTTTAATCTTTTGGAGGTGTGAGTTCTTAATCAACCAACACTTTATCCAATACAACATAGTCGATCTGACCACCACTTTATACGTTCTACCTTTATGTCTGGATGACACATTCTTATCATACAAGACATCGAATACGTGCCTCAAAATTATTTATTTATCGACTTAAATTTTTTCGACTTTGAAGTAAAAAAAAAAGAAATGTTGGCCCATTCTATCACTAACCATGGGCTTAACCTTTCCATGGCTTTTTAGCTACAAGGCCCACTAACATCAATCAATTGGGCCTGTATAAATTACAACTCCATCGCTTAAACCTGTTTCCCTTTCTTATTCCTTTACGCCTCTCCGTCGTGAAAAAGCTACACAAAGGAGAGGATTTTGACGTAAAAACTATGGCCACCGAAGCACCGGTAGAGGCGACGGAGATTCCGCCGGTCGCGGCGGCGGAGTCGGTGGAGAAGCAGCCGCATAAGCTAGAGAGGAAGTGGACGTTCTGGTTCGATAACCAGTCTAAACCGAAACAAGGCGCCGCTTGGGGAAGTTCTCTTCGAAAAGCTTATACTTTTGAAACTGTTGAGGAATTCTGGAGGTAAAATCTGTCATTTCTGTACAATAGGAACGTGATATTTTCTAGATTCTTGATATTATGTTTATTCAGATTTGTGCTTGTAAATTGTGGAAACCCTATCTATGGCTCGTATTACAAATTGATATCCATACTTCTGATGAAATGATTTTTTCGAATAAAACCGAACCTCAATTTGCCCGGATTTGGATTTTTAATGTGATTAATTGATTGCGTTTGTGGAGTTTTTTTTACCTGTCAATTAAGATAGCTTTGATATTGCAACGTGTATGTTGATCTAAGAGTATATGTGATCTTCACCAAAGAGAGTTCTTTCTGCTGATTACTGATTGAATTTGTGCCTTTTCCTGCCAGGTTATGGCCCTGTCTCTATTTTGTGACGTTGAAAAAGTTTGTCCTTTTAGAGAATAATATTAGTATCTGCAATGAAGTTCTATTGCTAATATTGTTCTTTGCAGCTTTTGCAATTTTCAAGCAATCAAATTTTCTCTATAAAATTAAGTTTTTAGATATTATATTTAATATTTTCTTCAACTACTACTACTGTACTTATCAGTGATATTGGCTTCTTAAACTCACTGACCATGCAAGCAGGGCACTATTAAACGAAATGAAGTACTTGTTTATATTAAATTTCATAAATTTCCTATATGTTGTATGTCTTGTTTTTTTTTTTTTGAAAATTATGTTGTATGGTTTTATTTTGATTGATTAATGAAGTACTATGGTTTAGTAAGAATAATAGGTGGGTAGAAGCTTTTCTTAGATGTGAATTGTCCTCTTTGTAGTTTATATGATCAGATATTCAAGCCCAGCAAGTTGACTGTTAATGCGGATTTTCATTTGTTCAAAACTGGGATTGAGCCCAAATGGGAAGATCCTGAGTGTGCCAATGGTGGCAAGTGGACTGCTACGAGCAGCCGAAAGGCTAATCTCGAGACTATGTGGCTTGAAACAGTAATAATTCATCTTTACCATTTGTTTCTGTTCTGTATTTAGTATGTCATATAAAGCACTGTATTGATTAGTTTTCTTGCTAAAGATGTTCATGTATTGTCTGTTGGATGTGCTTCTTTTGAACAGTTGATGGCATTGGTCGGCGAGCAATTTGATGAGTCAGAAGATATATGTGGAGTGGTTGCTAGTGTGCGTAGGAGTCAGGATAAACTTTCCTTGTGGACCAAGACTGCCACCAATGAAGCAGCTCAGGTAGTTTTCTCATCTCTGGTGTTATATAGCTTCAAAACTGAAATCTCTGTTATTGTTCCACTATCTCCGAAATGTGATATGAAATATTGTTTAAGATGGTCCAGATGATAGATCCTATGTTTTGTTTCTCAAAACATTGACTATTCCTATATTAATATTATTTAAGAAAAGGATATACCAGAGTACTTGAAACAGATACATTTGCAGGAATTTTGATGACTTTTCTCTTTCATTTTCAATTAATATGGTCTTGTGCTGCGTTAAACGTTTTTCTTAATGCTGATATGACCTATTACATTATTACATTTTTTTTTTTGGTTAAGAGAAAAGGAAAAGCGATTTTATTTGAGCACCAAATTTGAGATCAAGAGAAAATGCCTTTTCCCATTCCGACCTATGGACGAAACACTAGGGTTGATTATTAAATATATAATTTAAATATCCCGATCAGAAACATTTATTCTTTTTCCTGACATGGAAGTCCTTAATATTTCTCTTCGCTTGTTCTTTAACCATTGCTCGCAGATTATTTTTTTTTGCTTATTGTAGTGGTATCTCCTTTCTCTATGGCATCTGTTCTTGTTATTTGTCGCTGATTTCTGTTCTGTCTTTACGCATTCTGATAAAAAGCACTTTGATCTGGGCACTTGTCCCTTGCACTGCTCCATAGATGTATATGCATCTAGATCTGCTTCATTTTCAACTTTCTGCTTTGAGCTCTTCTGAAAACCCCTTAAAATGTGTCTTGAAATCTAAATTATTGTGTGGTCATGTTCCATAGCGCGTAATATGATTCAAAGGATCTTTAAATTCTCAAGTCGAAGCATGAAGATTTAAACTTACGGCTATGGGTGATGTAGTCAAAGATTTTTATAAACTTCTTTTGAAGCCCTTACTTCCCATGTGAAACAACTATACAAGACACCATCTGATGTACAAGAGTGAGATATGAGTTTTGTGAAAGGTTAAGTTTTGATACCATGTCAAACAATTTGAGTATCCAACCTAAAACACTTTAGGTCATTGGTGGAGTAGCCCAAAATCAAAGAAATGAGTGAAGTAGCTCATGTCTTTCATTTAACCCTCTGGATGTCCTCCCATGATCCATGTAAGAACTATATAACTCAACAGCCTCAGTTTTTAAAGAAATCACCTAAACGTTTGTGGAGGAGCAATTTTATGAAGTAACTGTACTACTGTGGTGAAACCGGTATCATCTGATGATAGTAAACTGAGGAAGGGAACATTCTGATTGCTTAACTACCACATTGTGCTGTGATAGTTTGCTATTCATTAACTTTTCTTGATGTATCAAAATAGCATATTGATACTAAACCCAAGATGGTATCATTTGAATATTTTCCCCAAGTTATACTTCCTCATTCTCCGTTTAGTAATCCTATGTACATTCATCTTACAGCATTGCAATACACAAGTTGCGCATTGAAATCTTTTACATTGCTTAACTAGGGGTTTTTCAGTCCTCTTTAGCAGATGATTCCCTTGTACTGTTCTGTAATCACGTATGTTTGCCTGTTTTTGGCCTTCTAACATCTCTGTAGTCTGAAGAATTGTTTTGCCTCCTGGCGTGATGCTACACTTGATGCTCCATGGTTTTGCATTTTATAAATTACTGGTTTGTTCTATGTTGTAGATGGGCATTGGTAGGAAGTGGAAGGAGATCATTGATACCGAAAAGATATCCTATAGTTTCCATGTAACTCTCCCTCATCACTTGCAATTCTTGCAAATTCTATGGTCTTTTTATCTTTCCTCTTTATTTTCGTTCTTTCTTAATCAACATATTCTTTTGGTCGTTGCAGGATGATTCTAAAAGGGAGAGGTCAGCTAAGAGCCGATATACTGTGTGAATTTCTTTATCGTGTGGGATTAACACCATTCCTTAAGCTCTACCAATACTGAAATTGTACGATTAGCACTTTTTTGCGCTTGTCTGCTGCAAATTTTGATCTTATTGAAATTTATTCGAACTTGATGTATGTTTGGATGTATTGCGTTAAAGATTTTGTTCTGAAGTTTGTTATTTATGTGGAATCACTTTATATCTCAAGTAGACTCTCTTTTACAAAAAGCCTAGTCGATTAATTGAGTAATTTTATGTTTCAAAATGAGCCTCTCTAGTGAATGTATAATAGAATTTTGGAGGAATTTAGTGAGATTTGAAGCACTTTAATTCTTGTAAAACAGTATCCATTGTGTCTTCTCAAATAAGCATAATACTTTAACGTTTTTAACTTAATCTTAGTTGGTATCAATGTACTAGTTTTCACTTAAATTATCATAAAGTTGAACAAGTAGACTAACATGTCAAATCGTACGTATGTTTACTTGTTTAATTTAATGATGGTTGAACTGTGTATTTGTGCTCACACATAGTTGGAGGATATAGATGTTAGCTGAGGGTGCATTTATGGATTATGCCTCTCAAATACGTTCATATTCTTTTGTGTCCACATGAGAAAATTAAGAATAGTTTTATTACTCAAAATCTGTATATTACTTTTGTTTTTCAATAAAATGATGGTGTTTGCATCAAATTTCCGTGTTAACCTACATTAGCATCACGTATGACGTACCTTTGTTCACCAAAACTTATTTCTTAGGTCTTTTAACTTGGATTCCTCTTCCATATGACTATTCAAGTTTAATACTTTACAATTTCGAGTGAAAAGTTCAAAATTGAAATGATGAAGACAACATTTTCTAGACTACAAAGCATATATATATGTTTGAATAATACATATAATTAAGTTGTATCTGATTGATTTGTTTCAATTACATAAAAGAGGCTATAGCTATTTGATCATAACACATTTTCAATTGGCAATGATGATTAATTATGTGCCATCCATCAAGCAAGAAACCCAAGTTTTTCACCATTCTTCTTTGCCAATCGAATTAATCCTTGCCTTTGCTTCTGATCTGCTCCTATTGACTTGCAAAACTCTGTGATTACCTGATCAAACAAATACCATCAACATTAGCTTTGGTTTTCGCGCTGGAAAGTTTCACTTTAGGGCGTAGAATGGTTCCTACCAAAGGTGATTTCATTCTCAAGACTCAAACTCCAGTCCTCTGGTTAAGGATAAGGAGAGGAGTACTTACAAGCGGTACCCAACTAATCTAGCGGATTAGTGTCTGGAAGTTCCAGTGTAGGGGTAAAACGGTTCCTATCAAAGGCAATTTAATTTTCAGGACTCGAACCCCAGACGTATATTTAAGGATACTTATAATCGGTACCCAACTAATCTAGCAGATTCATGTTTGAAAGTTCTACTTTTAGAGGTAAAGCGTGTGATCCCTACCCAAGGCGATTTCATTTTCAGAGCTCGTACTTCAAAAGGTAGTCGGGGGGGGGGGGGGGGGTACTTACAAGCC